CTTGTTCTAATGATTAAGGCCCCTACATTAGCTTCCGACGGGTTTGTACATGGCTGAGCACGTAGCGCTGCACATACTTCCATCCAGACACACACGACCATGGCTTCCATGACGAAGTTTTACAAGCACAGCCACTTGGGTGTAGGCATATCCAAGGCTGTGTATCAAGCAGTTATGTAGAGGAGAGAGCAGATCATGGCAACTCCAGTGGCCAAGACTATTCCGAGGAGCCTTCCGCTGACAGTTCCATTGCTATGATTGTTTGTTATTATTGTCACACTACGGCGGCCGTGAGCCCCTTTTTTTTTGTGCCCACGCGACAGCGAATCTCATGAGCCTTCGAGGAGCGAAGCAATGCTTTCATATGCGAGATCAAGCAGGAAGATCGCCCTCACATGCTCTCACTTAGGATCGACATGCTATACAGTCCTGCGTTCGCAACTTCAGATTTACTACAGTTATTATACTACTACTGCTGCTGCTGCTGCTGCTCCTGCTACTGCTACTGCTACTTCTACTGCTACTGCTACTGCTACTGCTACTTCTACTACTAGTACTCCTACTACTCCCCCTACTCCTACTACCCCTACTACTCCTACTACTCCTACTCCTCCTACTACTACGACGACGACGACTACTACTACTAGTACTACTACTACGACTACTACTACTGTTACTGCTACTGCTACTGCTACTGCTACTGCCACTGCCACTGCCACTGCTACTGCCACTGCTACTGCCACTGCCACTGCTACCACTGCTAGTGCTAGTGCTGCTGCTGCTGCTGCTACTACTACTCCTCCTGCTGCTGCTGCTGCTGCTGCTGCTATTATTATGGTTACAGTAATATTCAAAAAGCCGAATCAGAGTCCTCGCCTGGCTGTGCCGAGTTGTAAGTGCTGAAGCCGAAACGGCCAAAGGACACACCGCCCTCCAAAGGTGCAGACAGCAACAAAAAGCCCAAACCCCTAAACTACAAAAAATCCTGAAAACGCTGTTTTGCAAGAAGCATCCGAGGAGCCTTTCCCATGTTCTCTTTACTACCTCAAGCCTCAAGCCCTAAGCAGCAAGCCTTTGCTTGATGTGCTTGCCTTGCGCGTGAGAGGCTCCGTGAGAGGCCAAGCCTTCAAACCCTTAAATGCTAAACCAATACAGGCTATATAGCTTGAACAAGGCCCTATGAAAACTTTCTTGCCGCCCTATGCAACCGAGACCCATGCAAAAAGAAAGCATCGAAGCCACTCGGATCCACCCAGGGACAGCTTGGCAAACCCAGAATATTGGAGCCTCCTGTCAGCATTTGCCGGGTGTTGTGTAGCTTTTTTTTTTCTTGGCGTTTCAGCTTTTTCGTCTTTTAAAGGAGCCTCAGGGTTCGATTTTTTCGGCTTCGGGCTACCGGGCCTGAGGTCCTGGGCATTTCAGCTAGTCCACTCGGGAACAAGTCATTCCAAAATCATTCTCTCTCCGAGGGTTGCTGTCAGTTTCGTGCTCCATGTCATGTTCAAGCTATCCATGGCGGTGTGTGATGTTGACGGTGGCAGGAGTAAACACGATCAGATGTACAGGCTTGCACTGCACCTGTCCAGCCCTCAACCCAAGGAGAGCGCTGACCCATCTGATTGCTAGCCTGACGGAGGAGCAGGCCACGACATTCCGGAAGGAGCTTGGCAGAGCACATTTCCTGGACCATCGCGTAGTCGAGAATACGATGCCCTCTGGCTGTGCTGGCATTAGTTGTGCAGCTCCTTCGGATTGATGAAAGCAGTCTCTGCTGGCTGTTTTTTTTCAGCACGGTCTTGGGCCCTTAGGCTCGTAGCCGACAATTTCAGCAAGGAAAGTACTATCACAGACCATACTTGTTACAGTCACCCTTGCATCTATGTCCTGAGGCCTCAGCTCTCTCCCCTCAAACTGGCTGTGGCTCAAGATGTGATGTTCTGAATGTAGCATCTGCCGCAGGAGTAGCAAGAATCCGAGCTCATGTCGCATATGCTCATGGGAAGTATCCAGTATTTGCAGCAGACTCAGCAGACGTTTCCACTGCTGCCCCGCTACCAGACTGGCTACGATATGCCTTTGGGCGACGGTAGCCAGTCCTCGACCACCACGTGCATCAGCGATGAAGAGCAGTGTGGTCTACAAGTGCCAGATGTGCCGCTGCATTTGATCAAGACTCGCTCGCATGAAGTTCCGCATTCTCCAGACGCGAGCACTACCGGTGAATGGATCGCGAGCTCCGAAGGGTGGACTACGGTTATGCTACGCAACCTTCCTGCATGTTTTTCTCGGGGGCGCTTGATCTATTTGCTCGCCAAGGAGGGCTTCGCCGGCACCTTCGACTTTCTTTACGTGCCGCTTTGCTTCAGGGAGAAGGTCTCCTTGTGCTATGCCTTCATCAACTTTCTCGATGTGGACACGGTGGCCCGCTTTTGGAAGCACTTCTGCGGCTTCAAGAACTGGGGACTCCCCAGCGCTCATGTCGCAGAGGTTTGCTGGTGTGCACGGCACCAGGGCTTGAGTGAAGCCATTGCGTACTACCAGAACAACAGCGTGATGCACCCCAGCGTGCCGGACGAGTGCAAGCCTGTGCTCTTCTACAAGGGCAGCCGGACATTCTTCCCGGCCCCCACGAAGAGAATCAAGGTTCCAAAGAAGGTGAAGCAAACAGAGGACGACGGGGCCACCTCGCAGGATCGGCAGCTTCTCAATGGCAACTCTTTGGGAGCCGGCCCCTTGCTCACTTTGAGCCTTTGATGTGAATGCCAGGCTTCTCTGAGGGAGGGACGCTCTCCTCCAGAAAGCAGTATTAAGCTTCGCTCAGAGCTTCTGCTGATCCAAGGTCCTTAGGTAGTCAGTGTGGCCATGGTCAATTGTCCGCTACCTCTGACCTGGGTCAACCTGTGACCAATACCATGACCAATACGAGTTTGAAAGTGTGCAGTCGGCCTCCAAGCACGCTGCGTGCGTCGAGTCGAAGCCGCTTCACGCCTTCGTTGTTTGCACATCGTGGCCCACGGACAGACAGCTGGGCGGTAGACAGGCCTGCCCATTGAGGCAGCTTGCTCCCAAAACAGCTTAGCAGAGCCACCCCTGTGGAGAACTCGGGCTGGGTCGCTAAGGCGACGTAAAGCAAAGCTTGGAAAAACATTCCTTTTCCAGGTTGGCGAAATCGAGCTCGGTGTGCAAGAGAGCCGACGACCCAGCCCTTGCAATCCAGATTCCCTCTTTCCTGTAGCATGTAACGCGTTCTTTTTTAACTCAGAACAGCTTCCCCTTGAGACTTCCTCGACTGATGCTCGGCAATTCCGTGCAGGTGATGTCGAGCCGTCGTCACGTCCGACCGGCCCAGGGTGGTACTGTACCGTACTAGTTTGGGGTCTGGGGTGTGTCCGACTTCCCAGCTGATGATCAGAGCCCGAACAAAAGGGTTACTGGTGAGTAGCACGTAGTACAGGAAGTTTGGGCGCCGTTTCTGCATCGGGACGCATCCCAGGCGCCAATAAGCAAGCATTGAGCCTATTTAGTAGCCCAGTCAGGGCCTTCCGTGTTTTTATGTTCTCGGAGCTTCTTGTGACTCCGAGGGCGAAATATCAAGGCGGAAGCCCCGATTCCGAAGTCTTTAGTTCATCTGAAGGCTTGTAAAATTCCGTCGAGCTCGAGACGCCACGCAGTTTCTGGTACTTTGCTGGGATAGCCTTCTTCCTTAAGGCTAGCAGGGTAGAGAGTTCGGTGTCACAGCATCAGCTGCGTGGGTGGCTCAGCCGTTGTTTCAAGAGAAGGTGTACCCGAGGAGTGCACGAAGTGAAAGCGTGGGTGTGCCTCCCCAGCCGATGAGCCGTTTGGCATTACACCGATGCTCACCGACAGCGCTCCCGGTGCAGATGGACAGAGCTCCCAAAGATGGTAAAACTGCGGAGGCCGTGCCAAGTAGAATCTGTGTCACCGGTTGGTGGGACTTTACAGTATCTCAGAAGTCCCAGAGCCGGGCCTCCTGAGTGTCGACTGCTGTCACTTTGATTGTTTCATGTTGCCTGGGCGTTATTTGGCATGAGATGACAGGGTGTTCCAGCTTCTTCAACTTTTCGCCTCGTTGACCGTCGTCGCAGATCTAGCCTGGCTCGTCCGAGCGTGAGTTTCAATGTCCCCAAACTCTATCAGGAGCTCTACAAGCGCTTCTTCGCCAATGCCCCTTCGGGCCAAGACTTCTTCAAGCAGTCAACGACACGGCTGCACCCTGCCGACATGAAGAGATGACCCTGAGTGACAGAGGGCGGTATAATTATGTTACCCTCATTGCAAACAGCTTGGCAACAACCCACCACTTTTCGAGGTCTCCTCCTGAAACCCCCTTTCAGCCACGATTTACGTGTGTTTTAAGGTACTTCTTGGCGGACCGAGTCGTGGAGATGACTGTGGAGATGTATCGCGGCTTTGCTGCAATCTGAGTCTGAGGAGAGACAACAAGCACTGGGTCACCTGGTGACCGGTCAATCTCGTTTCAATCCTGAAAAACGACGGAACCGCCCGGCAAGATCAAAGGGGCCTTTGAACCCTGAAGCCGCAACGCTTGCTTTCATGGAAGGCCCGTCCCTTCAGGGCGGATGGGGTGAGACCCCAGGCGCTTCGAAACACAGAAGCTGGCCTTTGGGTAATCGTCGGCCTGCCAAATAAGCATGTTGGAGGCAGCCTCGCTCCCAAAAGAATCACAGCAAGATGAACCTTTTTCATGACCGATACTGCAGGAAGCACTCATAATATAGGGGCCTAAACAAATACCAACACACTTTTGGGGGCTCCTTATTCTGAGTCAAAGCTTGAAAACTTTTGGAAAACACCACCAAAGCAAAGACCACCACTGCCAAAGGGCCTGTGCAGCACTTTTCCCTTAAGACCTAAGCCATCGACTCAGACCTGACAGAAGCCTTGACGAGAAGCCCCCTGAAACCCTGTCGAGCCTTCACCCTGAAACCAGAACCCCTACAAGCTAAACCCGAGGGAAAAAACTCAAAAAAACCTTACGCCCTAATCCCTGAACCCGGAAAGCCGCCCCTTTTTTCTGTCAAAGGCGAGCCCAGGAAGATGGTGCAGGAAATCTCGGGGCTCGGCCTTCGACACGCAACTCTCCCCGGAGATCAAAAGGGTTCATAATTATAGGGGTTTAGGCTCGTCAACTTTAGAAAGGTGAAACATGGGTTTGGATGGTTTAGTGCGGGGATCCTATCCTTGGCCTTCAGGCCCCTATAAGCCCTAAGTACCCTTATAAGCCAAAATAGGCATGACTCTTTTGGTTAAGAGGCTTAGGGTCTTGGGTTCAGGGCTCAGGGTGTATATAGGGTATAGAGGTTTTGGATTTAGGGGTTTAGGGTCTCTAGAGAGCCCCGGCGTGTTGGGTTTTGGGACTGTAGAATCGAGGGTCTGGGGGTTCAGGGCAGCCCATCTGTTCAGAGATCCTCTAGGCCATCAGCTGTTTGAAGCTTCCCAAAACCCTCGACCGCAACCTCGTCAAGCCACGGCAGGCACTAGCCTGCCGTTTCGTCGATCTCGGGCATCTGGGGTTATACATCCTTAAGATCTATATGGCTCATCTAGACTCGTCACTCCACGCCAACAGTCTTCCCAGTACTGGCTCCTCAAGAGTCGTATAGTCTATGTGGGTAGTTCTCTAAATTTAGGGTTCCTTTTTAGGTCCCAGACATGGTGCGGCAACGGCACTCTTATTATAAAAAGGATCGCAGGGCCCTGTGCCTTGATCACCAGAGTCGCTCACTGAGGGTCGTAGGGTTGTTCTTGGTCCTTCAGGGAGGGGGGCGGTCGGGGAGGTTGCTTTTCAAGGGCGCTAGCCAACGCTAAACGCAACAGGGACCCCTGACTCTTAGAGCCTTCGGATCAGTCCCAAACCCTAAACCCTGAGTTTAGCTCAACTCTGCGACACCTCAGAGAGGGAAAACGGGCCGAGAGAAGAAAAAGCTGCCCAGGTCGGCTGGGGTATCCCTCCGGAGCTCTTTTCCCCATACTGCTCTGGCGCGGTAGATACTATTCGAGCACTGACACTCGGCTGAAACGGAGGGCTAAGGGTGTAGGGCTTTTGAGAGTCATGGCTGTTGTAAGACAAGCTTTCGAAAGTTCCAGAATTTTGCGACACTAGGCTCGTCGGACTCCTCATAACGGGGCCTTCACAGCAGGATCTTGCAAACCCAAAGCTCTAAACCCTAAACCCAAAAACCTAGTTCCGCAAACCGAGACGAAACCGTGGTGAGCCCCAAGCCCAAATAGCCTACTTCTCCGCCAAGGACTCCAGAGGAGAACGCGCAAGCCGCATTTCGCTGCCTGGACTTCAGAGCGTCTAGGGCCCTCTAAAGGCTTGAAGATGTGGAATCTGGTTTTGGGTTATTGGTAGAAAAACAAGCAAGCCTATGTAAATTGCATGATTCTATAGCACTTCAGGGTTCCGGGTTGCTCAGTGTTTGAGCTTGGGTTCTTGGGGGAGTCTGACATGTAGGATACTCTCTTTGTGGCAGCGCACTTCGTTGCGAGAAGCCGGAAGTTCTCCCAAACAAGGTAACCCATTCGGGCCCCTTTGATGATATTGCACATAGGTTGTCTTAGCATAGTCTTATGTCTATTCCCTGAACTCCCGAACCCTAAACCCTAAACCACGAACCCTAAATCCCGCATCCTATAATCCCAAATGGGCCCTTTCATTTCTGCTGAGCTGAAGCCGAGGTTTCTCTCTCTCGCTCATTGCTAAGATCCTAGCGCCTTGGCCAAAGCAGATTGAAACCTAGGTGTTCCTTGAACATCTTTCAATGTTTGGGATCTTCTAAACCCGGGGGATTATGCGGCAACATGTGTTGATTGCACGGTTTAAACTGGATGTGTCACAGCAAAGTGAATCGCAACTTCCAGGCTGTTTGTTTTCCTTCCAGCCACGCGGTTTCGAAGCTGCGTGAAGTATTTCGATATTCTGAGTACTACTTTGAAGTCGACTCTTTGATCCTTGGGAACCCTGCGATCATTTTTGATCTCCCGTAAGTTTTGTTCGTTGGTCGAACACCCACACAACCTGATCTCGGGGTCGCACTTCCGACGCCTCCTTGACTCCGTCGTAGTCCCAGGTGTCCGATTCCTGAAAGAATCGGATCGTATCCTCCGAATCACACCTGCTCCGCTGCCTGTGTGCTTCACACCAAACTTCTGAGCCTAATTCGCAAGTTCGCAAAGCTCGTCTAACGCCTCCCCATGAACATCCAGCTTGTCTCACGCCGCGCTTTGTTCTGATGCAGTTCAGCAAACAGGTTTCTGGAGATATAAAGCGGGGTGTTTTCAAGCACGGCTTTGAATGTCGTCGTATTAGAAAATGAACGTTACACGTGCAATGCTGCATTAATCATGGGTGTAGGGTTTTGTTTATCAAGCAGGGCGCCGCGAGGACCACTAGAAACCTTTGAAGTGGTTTGTGTACATTTTTCCCCGCAGGCGTACACGGGGCAGCAAACTCGGTGGGGGGGGGAGGTTCTACTTTGAAGATGTTTGGGGAGTATGGGTAGTTGAAGCAGCTGATGGCAACGAACCCTGAACCCAAAGCCCCCTTAACCCTGAACCCGAGGCCTGGATCTAGGCCTTTCAGGAGCAGTACGCATTGAGAACTCATCTCAACTCCTGAGCCCTCGGAACCTAGACCCTGAACCCTGACCTGAGCCCGGAAACCTTTTGCAAAACACAGGGGCCCTCCCTAAACCCCAAACCCTGAACCCCAAACTCTGACTGAACCCGCAAAAGCTGTGGCACTCTCGGCCTTTTCGGCCAAGGTCCGGGCTGTCACTGAGGGATCCACTCTCGTGATGAGAGCGATCAACACCAATCAGGCCATGTTGGGACTGAGCTGTTTTTCAAGCATTCTTCGTCCTGTGGAACACACGCTTCAACTTCGCCAGCCTCACCCATCGACTACCATCAACATTATCACTATCGCTGCCGTCACCATCGCGATCATGATCGTCGTGACGGCCACCACCGCCATCATCATCACTGTCACCACCATCATCATCACTGTCACCACCACCGCTATCATCATCATCATCATCAACATCATCGTCATCATGATGATGATCGCCTTCGTCATCACCGTCACCTTCGTTACCTTCGTCATCATCATCATCACCATCATCATCATTATCATCAACCCCATGGTCACCGTCACCATCACCATCATCATCAGCTTCTTCTTCATCATCACCAGCATGGCCATCATCGTCAGCATCATCATCAGCAGCATCATCATCTTCTTCTTCATCGGCAACATAGTCTTCACAATCATCGTTATCACCATGAGCGTCCTGGTCATCACAATCGTCAGCACCACTTCATTGCCATCACCGCACCAACCAAACCAGATAATTCTCATCCCTGTCGGCACCACTCGAATCGACAGGAATATTTTCACCATCACACCACCGTCAGGGCATTAGCACTATCACCTCCAGTTTTATCGGAAACCCAACCCCTTTCATCGTTGTTTTTCCAGGAAGCCGCGCTCAAGAAGGCCATCTCCATCGCTCCCCGAGGTAGACGGGCAATGGAGCTGCTGAACATTTCCGTGGGCCGCTCGTTACTGAAGTCCCCTAAAAGAAGGTTGCCGGTGTTTTTTGTTCGATGTGGTGCTGTTCATGCGTGTATACATGCGTACATACACACACACATACATACATACATACATACATACATACATAGATAGATTCAATCATAAGTATGTACATGCGCACATGCATGCGCACACACATAACTTCAAATACATACACACACACATATATATATATGTACATACACATACACATTCATAATACTATGTCAAATGCGCACAAAGCTCCAGAGGCACTGTTCTTGTCGCTCGCCTGTGTCGCTGTGGTCGGTGAGTTGCTGAAAGTGGTCCCTGCTCGAGGTGGGTTCCTTTTGCCCTTTGCTCGGTCGCACTGGCTGCTGACATTTTGCAGTCCGAAACACTTCCCGAGCAGGGGTTTAGTCTGTCACAGTATTTATGAAGATAGGATCGCGTTTCGGCAGCGATGCCCTGCATGAGAAGAGGGCTCCATCTAATCGCAATACAACAAGCAACAGCACCCCGGTTTTACATACACTGACATACACCTTGCGAGTACCAGTGGGACAACACGCCGCTTCACCGGCCCCTGGCTTCGGTCTCGAAGTCCATTCTTCTGGACTTTCTCAGCCCTGAACGGACAGCCGAGCCGACTGGGCTTCGAAGCACGCCGCAAGCTGTCCTATGCCGTTTCCGAAGTCGCAAGGCTAAGGCGGCTAAGCCCTCTAAACCAAGACCCCAATGTACGGTTTCCCTACCTAGCGGGTTCGTCTTAGCAATGCGCGAGGCCAGATAAGCTTAAGCCGGTAGTGCCGAAAGCCATGCAAGGCATTAGAACCAAGGCACCCAGTCCATCTCCCCCCTTTTCTGGTCCATCGAGAGTGGCAGCTTGAACAGTGCCTCGGCATCACTATTGAGGGCCTCTTCTTCACAGATTTTGAGAGATTTTGAGAGCGCTTGAGTTTTGAGGGAAGCCGTGGGGAGCCTGTGACTTGGAGATGGACGGCATGCCATAGCCAACACCTAGCAGTGGCATTTTTGCCGGCGAGGAAACGGGAGCTGCTGCTGATGTGACAGTGGTGGTAGTAGCAGCAGCAGAAGTAGGCGCAGTAGGATTAGTAGTAGTAGTAGTAGTAGTAGCAGCAGCAGCAGCAGCAGCAGTAGTAGCAGCAGCAGAAGAAGAAGCAGGAGAAAGCATAGTCGGAATAGCCGTCGTCGTGGTAGTGGTCTGGTAGTAGTAGTCGCCGTAGTAGTAGATGTAGAAATAAGTAGTAGTAAGCAGTAGGTGGTGGTGTTAGTAGCAGTTGCAGCACGACCCACAGCTTTTCAGACACGCCTCATACAGGGGTTGCAATGATCGCCCGTAGTATTCCCTTATAGTCCTGATATATGGCATACGTAAACTGTACCCCGAAACCTTAATAGACAACGACCCCTATATGGGTAGTTCTCTACATCGAGGTCCTCTTGTAGGTCCCGGAAAAAGTACGGCACCCTTATAAACGGGACTCTCAAAGGGACCCTAAGTTAGAGACTTACCCATGTAGAACCCTTATGGCCCTTATGGAAACCCTATACAAACCCTAGTAGATCCCTTCAAGGAGCCCTAGTTTACAGAACTACGGCCATGAGCATCCTGCCGACCGCGAGGTGCCCGTGCCATGCTCGTGGACCTCCTGACGATCCGAGCGGACCGTGACGTGTACTACTATGGCTGTGTAGCTTGGACTGTACCTGTGGCCCCCCAAAAGATCTACATTCTCAAGGAACTAGATAGAAAACCGTGATAAGGAGCCCAGGAAAGGTAGGCCTGTTCGGCTACAGATGGGCTTCAGAAGGTTTTTGGGGTGGTCTGAGGCTCAAGGCATCAGGGTTTGGAGGCATTTCTAGGCTTTGCCGGGGCTTGCGGCTCGAACTTCTTTGGTGTTTCTTTGGTGGAGGTGAGGGTTGGGTCTAGCTACCACTATGGACAAAAAGTCGGAAAGAGGGTTTCGGGGGAGTACTCATACCACAACCGCACTTCAAGAAAGGAACCTGCAGCTTTCATGAGCCAGGTTTGCGATTCGGTGGGCGCGTCAGGGGTTTCATGAATTGCAGGTCATTCTATCGTCTCTGTCTCTGACCTATCGCTTTGTGATCTTGCTGTTTTCGACTGGGCAAGACCCATGGCATGGGAAGGGTCCTGCGCTGAGAAGCCCTTTGTGCATTAGGTGTTTTCCTTCTTGATACTGTCAATGACAGAGCTATCTGGACACATCTCACACCCTGAACCCTAGACCCGAACCCTGAACCCTTGAAAAAGGGGGAAAAAACCCTGAACCCTTGAACCTACCCGGCAAAAGGAGGAGGTCGGTCCGGCCCTTTGTCCCGAGTGCTTCAGCTGAGGATGCCATGTTCACGCGGCATCCGGACCTGATCTTGCGCTTGTGCAGCGATGCGTCGACGTTGCTGTGGACCTTGTTTGATGGCATCTCGCAGAGAACCCTAAGCCCTAAACCCCTAGACCCTAAACCCCTGAGAAGGTAGCCCTTAAGGTTCCTTAGTGGTTTTGCAGACACAGGATGCCATGTTCAAAGGTCCTTGTAAGAAGAGCTACCTAGTGTTCCACTGCCTTAGGGGCCCTGAATCTCTGAAAGTATCGTTGTGGGTAGTTTCAGAGGTTCTTTAGGTTTGTAGACCTTGAGGATCGGGCCACATGTACCACTCTGCCGGCAGAATCTTGCATGGTGAACATACTGGACTGAGCCGCTAGTAGGGGTGAGAGCAGGAGCCTCTGACATGCATCTACGCTGTCTGTACTGTCTGATTCTGTCCTTGCTGCGCGAACTTCACTCAAAACTAAAACCTCGAAACGAATCATTGTTTAGTATAGACAACCTGTAACTCCCTAGATCGAAAGCCGCAAAGTGTTCCCCAGCAATGACCCCACCCGTCTGCTGCACTGGGTGCAGCTCAGGCCTCGTTTGGCGGTCGAGGCTGGTGCAGAACGGCCAGCGCCGTGTCAACTACTACATCAAGCAGCTCAGCATAGGAAGAATGGGGTTTTGGTGGATTTTCGAATTTTCGGGAGTTTGGGATGTAGGTTTTGGCTTCAGGATTCTGGGTGCCAGAAACGGGCTAAGGACACCCCAACCCCTACTTAGGAGCCACGGTGTCTTTAAGAGGCTTTCAAGGCCCCTAGGCCGGAAGGACTCGGGCGTCGCCCCATGAAGGGTTCATGAAGGTTCTTCTAAAGTTTCTATCGGGGATTGATATGAGTTCTAGAGAGGATTTTCGCAGGGCTTTATGGCGCTCTGCATCGGGCTGCTTGAGTCAGACGACACATTGCGGATGACTCTGGGGGCTGTCATATGTGAAGACAGAACCCCACATCACATGCACGGGAGCCAAGCAGCACGGCACGAGCAGAGTCGGGCCCCGTCGTGCGCACCAATCGGCAAGCTCCCGGCGCCCTCTAAACCCTAAACCGCCTATTACCCTAAACTTAGACCCCTTAAGCCTAGAGTGCCTCCCAAACGCTTTTCCCAAGCTCTGAGATCCAACCTCTCCTTGCTCCGCGCATCCTTAATTTCCAAATCCGGACACAAAAACCCTAAAACCTCCGTGGAGTGGAGTTGCTGTGGATCCGTGCCTTCCTGGTGCGAGCGAGTCGAAGCTTCCCAGACCTATTAACCAATACGGGCTCGTCCTTGCGAAGTACGTGTAGGAGGCTAAACCCTAGAACCCTAAGCCCTAAAAACTAAAGCCTAAGGCCCCTAAACCCTAAAGCCAAAACCCTAAACCCTAGGAAAGAAAGCCTAGGCATTTGGTCCAAGATGTGGAGGGCAACTTCAGCCCAGCTCTGAAATGGCCACTGGGATCTGGTGGAGTGGGCTCTTCCTCTGGGCTCTAACCGCTCTTCCTCTGTTTGGTATGGTGATGTCATGTCGTGCATTAAACTTTATTTGTTATTTTGTTATTTCCTATATATGACGTGCTTTTGGTTATGTATGATTCATGTGTTTGTCTGCCCTTCTGTCTGTCTGTCTGTCCGTCCGTCCGTATGTATGTGTGTATGTATGTATGCATGCATGCATGCATGCATGCATGTGTGTCCCTCTTATATATTTACATATAGTATTCATACACTTTTTGTGTGTATACATATTTTTGTATATATATATATACACACATAAGCGCATTAAAAATTACATGTGTATGTGTACTGTGCATCCTTTACTACCTGCCATACACCATCGTTTCTGTTTTTCTAAGCGGGTGGGGAAAACAATGTAATTAATTCGTTTCTTAGGTCATACTTCCTATGTTAAGTGGCAGAGCTATCTGTTACATATTGTATAACATAGCGTGCGTGATACACTAGGCGCACCCTATATTAAGTAGTGTGTGTTCCATGTTATGCCTTGTGCACTACTTTTCCATAGTATACATTACGCATTTTATCTATGGTGTATAATGTGTGTTATATTATCTGCCGTACAATCTCGCATTGTTGTTATGCCGTACCTTAAATATAGCACACTATCTCTTGTAAGTATGCATGTTATGTATGTATACATGCGTAGACATGTACGCACACACGCATATATATATAATATGTATATATATATATATGTATGCATATGTAGTTGTATGTTTTGCATATGTAATTGTATGTACGTATGTATGCATGCATGCATGCATGCATGCATGTATGTATGTATGTATGTATGTATGTATGTAGGTATGTCATGTCATGTCATGTAACGTAACGTAACGTAAGGTAATGTAATGTAATGTATGTACGTATGTCTGTTTGTCTGTCTGGCTGGCATTGTTGTCTCATACTTGCCTCGAAATTAGTTGCGTTTTGGCTTTATCGTTTGGAGTTTTTTTTTCAGGTTCGGCAAAGGGTTTGAGGGTTTCGAACACCTCTCATGAAGCACGCGGGCTCTTTCAGAGTGTTTGATGGGCGCTTCCAGCAAGCCTTATGCTTGTGGTGGCTGGGTATCCTTTCAGCCAATGTCGGCGTAAGCACTTCCAGGAACACGCACATGCACACACACACACACATACGCATACAGACACACACTACAGTCCAAACCCTCTGCATGGTATGGTTCTGGTTCGGGTGTATGGCCTGATATGTACAAGTTGACATGGACAGACAATCAACTGGACATTTTCACGCATGCACACGGATCAATCTACCTGCTTATGTACCTACCTACCTATTTGTCTATCCATCTATCTACCTACTTATCTATTTATCTATCTGTCTATCTACCTATCTATCTATCTTCCTATCTATCTACCTATCTATCTACCTATCTATCTATCTATCCATCCATCTATCTATCTACCCAGCTATATATGTATGAGTATGTAGGCATTTATGCATGTATGTATGTATGTATGTATGTATGTATGCATACGGCCAAATGGATATGGCGGTCTGCCAATGTCGATTTGTGAACCTAACTGCTGCAGCCACACACGGCGCGTTGAAACAGCTTTTGGACACCGGGCGTGGTGGCCTCACCTCTAAATGCAAGATTGTAGAATCGGAGCTTTTGGGCTTTTAACGGTGAGTCAGCTTATGGTATATGTGGCCGGCAAGGCCTCACCGGGGCAGGCCAAGTCGCACAAAGCCCCAGAACCCTAGCACAGCTAAATCCATATAAGCCCTCCGTTGGTCCAGGCTCGCGCACCACAAGGATCCGCGGCTTGTCAGCCACGGCGTGGTCGTGACTTTTGCAGCTTCCCGGCCGAAAAATTGTACGGTTTGGTGTTTAGGGGTGTTTAGGTCCGCGAGGTCCGTCTGGGGGTTAAGAGAAGCTTTAGGTTATCTTTACCATCCTGATGCTACGGACCCGACGGTTACAGGGTCAGCATCATCAATCTGCGAGGCAATGGTCGTATCGATCCCGATGGAGTGTTGTTTTTGCATTCGCCCGGCCAGCGGTAGTATGCACAACGGTTGTCTGGATGGGGATTGCAGTGTATCGTGAGCAACACTCGGACTGGCTTTTCCAATGTTTCTTTTCGATTTCAGGTTTAGCAGAAATAGTCTGAGTCTATGTGCGAAAAGCCGCACACCGTGTAATAGTAGTACCTTCCGCTAAACCAGGCCGTTCTGATTGAGCCCTGACATCCTACACCTGGAGACTAAAACTCCGTCCGTCCGTCCGTATGTATGTGTTTTATCTATGTATGTATGTATGTATGTATGTAGTTATGTATGTATGTATGTATGTATGTATGTATGCACATGCATGCATGTATGTACCTCTTTAGTTACTATGTATTTACACGTAGTATTCACACAGTTTGTTGCATGTGCATATACATTTTGTATATATATATAATATACACGCACATTAGACATTACATGTGTATGTGTACTGTGCATCCTGTACTACCTGTCATACAACATTTTTTTGTTCTCTAAGCGGGTGGGGAAACAATGTAATTCGTTTCTTAGGTCATACTTCCTATGTTATGTGGCAGAGCTATCTATTACATATTGTATACCATAGCGTACATGATATGCTAGGCATACCCTGTCCTATGCGCCTAAACCCTTCAACCCCAAGCCACGGTACACCAAAACCCCCAAAGCCACATACCCCTGCTGAGGGCGGTTCTGTCTTTAGCGGGCTTAGAGCTTGAAGCGCCACCCCACATCTCAAGCCCTGCAGTATGCCCATTTATGCCAAAAACAGCGCAAGTAGAGCCAGTAGAGGCGCTCTTGTGTTGCTTTGGTCTCATCCTTAAGCCCCATACAGTAGCCCTGGAGGGACTGGTGTTTAAGGGGCCCCAAACCTTAAGCCGGGACCGGCCCCTAGCTTTGTAAATCCTACACTCTTTGACCTAGAGCCCCGAAGCCACATTTCTGGCAGGATCTCTTGTGGAACCGCCTGGCCTCCTTCCAGTTTTTGCTGGGGAGAGGTGCATGGCCCCGTTTCATACGCCGAGGTAAAGACCTGTGGTATGATATTGATTCTCGGGATTAAGAGGATAAGGGTTTTAGGCTAGGGTGTAAAGCTTCCCGGATCTAAGATTTGGGTTTTAGGGAGCTCAGTCCGTGAGAGAGAGAGAGAGAGAGGAAGCTGAGCTCCCGCCTGTGCTCTGACGAAAGCAGGCAAGATTATCGTTTATGGTCTTGGGCCGATCTCTTGACAGGCTCTCTGGGGTGAAGCAAGGTATCAGGGGATGAGGGTTATATGCGAGTCTATACTAGACGATGCCATAATTCATTATCCTATGCTGCATTCGTTGCGGCATGTGCTATACAGACTTTATTTTAGCATGTTGCAAAAGCCTCTATACTGAGCTTCGGTTGAGAGCTCGCTTTGAGCTCCAGCTGTTCTACCTGCCTTGGAGCATTCAGATGAAACTCCGAGGTTATGGGTTGATCGCGAGGAGCAAGCCAGACCACAAGAATCCGGACCCTGGACACAAGAACCTTCGAAGCCGAAACTGCGAAGCTCTGAAAGCGGCCCGCTGCCATGTGCTAAAGCCCACATCACCTGCAGGCTACTTCCTTTTCACGCTGATCGTCTTCATCACTAGCCAGTCGCTGTTGATACCGGGGGAGCCTCAGCCAAAAGGTCTGTTTGTGGAAGCAAGCCTTTGAGGGCTGAGAGCCTCTTTCAGTGCAAATCTCAGGGTCTGGGGGGTGTGAGGGTTCGTCATGTTGGATACCTTTCTTTCCGTGCGGGCTTGCCAGTTTCCGAGGCTTGCTCTTTCTCCTTCTCTCCTGAATCCTGTAGTGTCTGGGCTGGTAGGGGTAGGCACCTGGGCGCTTGCAGCCCCCCCTGGCTTGCGGTGCTAGTCACATGTTCTCCTCAGTACTCCTCAGAGTTGTCCAGCTGCTGTGGTAGCGACGAATGCATCCTGTGCTTGAGCCTCGACACGACCCGCCAAGTTGTGAGACTGGAAACCTTAATCCCACACCCTGCACGAGCCTCGTTTCATCCTCGGGTCAACGTCGAAGTGCCGGTGCCTAGAGAAGTTGCGTTTGTGCTGTAGTGCTTTTAGTTTCTTCTTCTGCTGCTGCTGCTGCTCCTGCTCGTGATAATGCCACTCAGCAGCCCCAAGCCCAAAACTCTCCACTACCCAACACCCTAACCTCAAAACCCCATGCTACCATAAACTAGCAAGTGAAAGCACTAAATCGGGGAGCTGAGCCTGATTTCTGCCGTCTAAATGCAGCTTGTCACAGGAGTGTCTGAGCCGCTGAAGGCTTAGGGATTGGGATTTGGTGCAGTATCTGAACTTGAACCTGTCAGGGAGGGATACCCGTTTGCTTGATTTCTTGTCGCCTCCACGTTGCGTCACCTTCAAACCCGGCGCTGTAGAATCCTGCAGTACTTACTCTCAGGAAGAATCCCTGGGAAAGAACATCGCCACGTTCGTGTGCCGCTGCTTCCTGTACCTAGGTACGGTACTCGGGACACATTGGGATGACCATCAGGTTTGAGCATGAACAGACACAATCCAGGCATCGCTGTGGAGCAGTGTGAGAAATTACTTGCCTCTCCTCCTAGACTTTCTTTCGGCTTGGCGACTTTCATTTATGGACATCCCGCAATCTCCCAGTCTCGCCAGTCTCATCTTTAAACCCTCGCGAAATAGATCGCAAAATAGACTGCTTTCAAGTCCATCGACACAGCGAGTGTGCGATACGCGCTGAGCAGAGGCCGATTAATTTATATTGATGCCCATAATCATTCGATGGTTCTTGTGCCTGGAACTAGCTATTGCTTCTGCTGCTGCTACTGCTGTCGTACTATGTTCACAATCAGGTAGTGGTGCGGAAGTGGTGCTGGTAGCACTAGCAATGGCAGTGACAGTGGCCGTAGGATCAGGAGTAGTAGCACTAGCAGTAGAGTAGGAGAAGTAAAAACAGCAGGAGCAGAAGTCGTCGTCGTCGTCGTAGTAGTAGTAGTAGTAGTAATAGTCATAGTAATAGTAGTAGTAGTAGTAGTAGTAGTAGTAGTAGGAGGAGTAGTAGTAGTAGTAGTTGTAGTTGTAGTAGTAGTAGTAGTAGTAGTAGTAGTAGTAGGGTAGTAGCAGTAGCAGCAGAAGAAGAAGTAGTAGTAGTAGGAGCAGTAGTAGTAGTAGTAGTAGCAGCAGCAGCAGCAGCAGGAGTAGTAGTAGTAGTAGTAGTAGTAGTAGTAGTAGTGATAGTGGTAGTAGGTAGTAGTAGCAGTGGTAGGAGTAGTAGCAG